AAATAAATAAAAATATCTTTTAAACGAAAACTCTAATTTCAGCTTTGACAATGCACAAGTTTGATTTTGGGAAAAATGAATTTTCCTGTCACCTTATGGCACAGGATGAGGAGAGCTCAGATCCATTCCTACTCTTACTGCAAGGTGGCAGCACTGTCATATAGCATCTATAGAAAATTTCAAACAGCAGGGAATGTGTCAACACCACAAAGGAGTAGAGAATTGCTCCTAGAAAAAAAAAGAAGTGATCATGTTAAGGGAATAGTCAACAGAAATCATGAAACCCCAGGGAAGCAACAGATCCTTTTATTCTGCCCTTCTTCCCTGAGAGAATCAAGTGACTGTAGTGGAGGAAAAGGAACAGTACCACTGTTGGGCTGCATGCCCAGCACGTCCTTTCATCGTTCCGTATTTCAGCCAACAAGTTGTCCTTCAGAAACATCTCTGCCATTAATTGTTCCCCATAAAGACTTTGATGCTTATTTTAGCCAGATTTCAAGCTGTACTGATGTGTCAGGAAATGGGGTGCTATTTAAACTGTGATTTGATGAAAATCTCACCAAGTCCCTTAAGTCCTTTGAACTTGCTCTTAATATAATTTTCAATTAGAGTTTCAGCCTCCAAAATCTTCTCATGAATAGCTAAGCCCATTGTTGGCTTCAATGAAGTGTATTCACAGCTGGTTAAAGACTGCAGAGGCTCTGGGTATAGACAAACATCTGAGTGGATCTTTTCTTCTTCACGATCCACCTAGCTATACCATCAGACAGTTTTTAGAGGTAGGCATGGTGCTGCACACCTGTAATATCTATACCTGGGAGGCAGAGGCAAAAAGATCATGAGTTTAAAGTCAGCCTGGGCTACAGAAATAGTTCTAAACAAGCCTAGGTTATATGATAAGAGCCCCCTCTAGAAAAAAAAGGGGGGGGGAGAAAAAGGTTTTAGAGCATTACGTTAGTTATGTGCTCTTTTCTAAAAGATACAATGTTGAAAAATCTACAATAGCAGCTATTCCCAGCTGCAGACAGTATCACTCATGTATTGTATGTAGTTCTTCCTCACTACCTCTTGGCTCATTAGTCATAAGAAAGTTGTCTAACCATACTCACTCCACTATTCATGAGTGTGAAAATGTGTAAAACTCTGGTATGTCTGTGCTCACATGAACTATGTTTATATCTGTAAATGAATTCTAGAAATCTTTTGGTAGAGACTCTCAAATTATGGAAGAGAAAAATTGAGATCCTGAGATAAAACTTCAAAGTAATTTCCCAAAGACGGCATAGTTAATAATAGGGCTTGTACTAGAACTCAATTCTTAACTGATTTCTAATCTGATGTTCTCTCCACTGTAAGTCACTGACTCATTCTGTCCTAGTTTCTTGCTCTATTCTACAAATTTTACTTCTTAATAGAAATCTCCTTATCTCTTTATGTTGGTGTATATAACTATGTGCCCCATCAGTGAGCATGCCCATGAAAGGGTACCAGTCTATCTGCTAGAATCTATAAAGCATATCACTGAGTGTTTATGCCTTTTCTGTTAGGGAAACCTAGGTAATTACAGTTCTCTGTGTTGGCATCAGCAGTAAAGTTGGGGGTAGAACTTCAAAGTCAATCATTAATAAGCAGATTTGGTTCTTTCTCCAATCAGATGTATCCCTGGGTCTTCAGAAAACAAGGCAAAATATAATTAGGGTGAAACCAGACTGTCAGAGTGAAACTTGGTTCCAGGGCAGCGAAAGCAAGGAGTGACAAGGCTGTAAGAGGCTGTGACAGATTAACAAGAACTGTAGGTGATGAGTGTTCAAGCTCATGAGCTCATTAACATGGAGACCATCTTAGTCTTCAGCCTAATCATTGCATCCTATGATTCCAACAGAAAAGGTAAGTACTTGTCTAGCCTAACACACTAGAAAGCCCAAAAAGAAACCTAGAAAGCATTTGTGGTCTCTTCCAGCAGATAGGGAACCCAACAAGTTAGACTTTGAAGAAGGCATCCTCTTGCCTCTAAGCAGGAGTGCAGCTCACTCATCCCAGAGAGACATCTACCTGTTTCATGATGAGAAGCCTTCAGAGAATGTGATGACATCTTTTTTCTTGCTTATGTGACTAAAATCATGGTTAGGGAGCTTTCCTTTCTTTTTTTTTTAAGGTAGGGTCTCCCACATCCCCAGCTAGCCTGGAACTCACTATATAGACCAGGCTGGTCTCATAGAGCCCACCTGTCTCTGCTTCCCAAGTGCTGGGACTAAAGGTATGTACCACCACACCTGGCTTAGAAAGCTTGCTTTTTAAGAGGGTATTATCAGTTTGTTATTATCCTCCCCTAGTCCTTCAAATTCATAACCCCTCAGAAGATGATGCCTTCATTTTTAGGATGGCATATTCAAATAGTTCAGTGGAGATGGAGATTGGGGAGAACTGAGGGAAAAGGCGATGTGGGTATGGAATGGCACTATTTGTTAGTCTCCAGTAACTAGGGATTTACTTGAGGATTTTTGTTTTGTGTTGAGGCTTGAAAGCCAGTACTTGGGGATGTGCAAGAGCTCTACCACTGAGTTCTGCCCCAGCCTGATAACTGCTTATTCAAAATGTGATTTTTTTGGAGTTTCCTAAACATTTCATTTCTAAAAATAACTAATTGGAGTTGAGGCACAATAGGTACAGCAGTAGCACGTTTATGCAAATTAAGAAAAGTCACACCAGCACTTGAGAGGCTAAGGCTAGAGGATTACCATCAAATCAAAACTATCCAGGACTACAGAGTATAGGTATGATGACACGTGTCAGGATGCAGAGACAGGCATATCTCTGTGAGTTCCAGGCCATCCCGGGTTACATAGTGAAACTCTTCCTCAAAAAAAAATAGGGCTGGAGAGCTGGCTCAGCAGTTAAGAGCACTGGTTGCTCTTGTAGAGGACCAGGTTCAAGTCCCAGCACCCACAAGGCAGCTACCAACCATCTGTAACTCTAGCACTGCACAACACAGGTGTACTTACATACATGCAGGCAATATACTCATACACATAAAATAAAAATAATAAATAGAATATAAGATCCTTAAGGGAGTGGATTGCTTATTTGTTCATTTAGTAACTTTATTTCATTTTTCTCCTAAAAATAATGCATTGGTACTCAGTTTTCTTTATAATAGACTACTTGTATGCATTTGGACATGTGTTTTAGTGGCTTTTATGGGTATTTGCTCTCTCCAGTTCTAAGTTTTATAAACAGGAACTTCATTGTTTTGTATATTCTTCCTGTGTCTGAAATTCTAGAGCATGAGTACCCAGTATGTTCTGACCCATTTTCTTTCCTAGACCTCAGAGACAGCAGCTGCCAAGTGGAACAGTTGCCTGAGTTCTTCCTAAAGGATGTAAGAAGCAACAGGGATTTGGTAATAAGAGGTATGGGATGGACCTTTTCTGGAAAAATCACTTTGCCATTCCAGGAATCTGTTTTTTTTACCTTTAAAAGGTTATCTTATCTCTCTACTTCTTAGTATGGACTTTAAATATCCTGTTTTAAGGATATATATCCTCTCAGGAAGAGTTCTGCAAGCTAATTTTTAAGAATTAACTTACTGCCTAATGGAAGAAGGAAATGGCACTGTAGTCATTCGTCTTCATGGGATTCATGGCTCACTGGAAAGCAGTTGGTACCATAAATGCAGATGGAGGAGGAGGTGAACCAAGAGGGCAAAGTGCAGCTGTGCAGTTTAACATGCGTCATGAGTGGAACTTGGTTAGCTGGGCACTGTTCAGATTACAAGACAGCTTCATTTGTCTGTCTGGTTCTTCCTCCAGGAACTCGCACAGATGTTGAAGAGCCCACCTTCATCCAAAATCAGACTATAGCTACCCTTCAGTGCCTTGACTCTGGAGGAAAAGTGAGGATCCACCTTGTCTATTCAGAGAGAAGGCCAAAGGTCAAGTATATTCTGAAGAACCTGAGCATCATTGCTGTTCCCCATACAAACAGCACGGCCTCCCCAAGCTGTCACCTAATGCCCACATCAGCGTTTCAGAATGGATCCTTTCTAAGAGGTAAAGTGAGATCAGAAAAGGAAATAGAAGTAGGGATACACTAACTTTAGGTGACTTCATTAATGGCAGTTAGTGTTTAGCAGCAGCTAGAGCCACAATGAAATGTATTATTCTGCCCTTGGGAAAATTGGTATCCTTTCTCTGAGAATCACTTTTTAAAAAAATATTTTATTTATTTTTATTTTATGTGTATGTGTATATTGCCTGCATCTATATATGTGCACCCATGTCGTCCAATGCCTGTGGAGGACAGAAGAGGTCATATGATCCACTGGAACTGGAGTTTCAGACAGTTGTTAGCTGCCATGTGGGTGTTGGGATTTGAACCCAGGTCTTCTGCAGTGTTCTTAACTGTTGAGCCATCTCTCAAGCCCTGAGAATCAGTTTTCTTATTAAAATTTTTGTGTATTTATTTAATGAGTGCTCGTGTGTGTGTGTGTGTGTGTGTGTGTGTGTGTGTGTGTGTGTGACAACAGGTGGGGAGGACATGCTCGTGGAAGTCAGAGAATAACTTTTGGGAATCAGTTCTTTCCTTCTATTATGTGGGTCCCAGGGATTGAACTCGGGTCTTCAGGCTTGGCAGCAAATACCTTTATCCACTGAGCCATCTCACCAGCCCCAGATTCTAATATCTAAGATCCCTTTTAGCCCTAGTATCCTATGATATTCATATGATCTTCACTTCTGATGGGTCTTCTTGTAACATTGCTTTGTGAATTTTTTTAATGCACACAATAAACTATATAAACAGCCCAGATTTATAGCAAAAAGGAAGTCTCTCCCTACTCCTGTCTCTCAATCCTATAGAAGGAATCACTGTTACTTAGTACTTTCCTTCCAAAGACAGCATGTATGGATGTGCATACATTATCTTTTTTTTTTTTTTTTGAGACAGGGTCTCATGTAGCCCAGAATGACCTCTAACTTACTATAGAGTCAAGGCTGTCTTTAAATTCCTGCTTCTCCTTGCTCTACCTACCAAGTGCTGGGATTACCAGAGTGTGACACCATACCTAGCTCATGTGCATACATTAAAAGTGTAAGTGGTAATATACCACATTGTTCTGCCTCTTGCTGTTTCCATATGCATGGGTTTGTCCCATGTCAATATTCATAAATTAGATTTGTTTATATATGGTTGTTTAATATTGAATCCAAGGCCTTGTACATGCTAAGCACATGTCCTACTTCTGAACGTATTATACCTCCAGCCCTGCCTCATTCTTTTTAACAGTATTCTATTGTATGACTATACTTCAATTTATTTTCCTAGTCCTCTGTTGATAGGGATTCTGGTTATTTATAGTCTTTTGCCAATATAAACAATGGTGCCAATAATGGCCTTATACATTCCTCTTGTGTATCTGCTTTTATCAAGAAAATAAATTCCAAGAAACAGAGCTGCTGCATCAACATTTGATAGATTTTGCTCACTTACCCTCCACATAAGTGGCTCCATTTTACATTCCTGTCTACACTGCATAAAAATGCTGTTCCCCAACAGCAACTAAGAAGTGGTTCTTGATCTCAACTGCCCATCTTTCCTATTTTTACCTGTTCTGTCAAGTAGTTTCTCTTCAACAGATCAGTATAGGAAGTTCTACTTCGCAAATAGGCATTCATTTAGGCTTTGCTGCTATGCTGTTGGAAAAATAATACTTAATACTTAGAGAAAGTGGGGGATAGAAGAAACACAAGCAAAATGATATAGAAATAAACTTTTAAGCTCTAGACTAAAGATTGGGAAATAAGTGGACAAACTCTCAGGATATAGCCTAAGAACAGTAAATTACATATCCTCATATGTAGACTATTTCACTTTATTATACATTTAAAAATTCTACCACTGAGCCAGGCATAATGGTGCACGCCTTTAATTCCAACACTCAGGAAGCAGAGGCAGGTGGATCTCTGTGAGTTCAAGGCTATAGCCAGTTCCAGGACAACTGGGACACAGGGAGACCCTGTTTCAAAAAGAAAAAAAAAACAATTCTACCACTGAAAGCCAGGTATGGTGAAGCACACTTGTAATCCCATTACACAGCAACATGTAGAGTTTGAGGTCAGCCTGAGTTGCATGAGCTCCTGTTTCAAAAGATATAAAATAAAATAATAAAATAAATAAAATAAAATAATATAAAATAAAATAAAACAAATTTTGTACTGTTCTCTTACCACATGGCATGCTGTTTGCATTGGCTGCAGAAGTGATGGTGAATAATGGGCTCCAGTCATCTTCCAATCTGCAGGGCTCTGGATAGAACTATATAGTGCTATGCATTGTGGGGCTTGGGGTAATTCAGGACATTAGCTGTTAGAACAGCTGAACAAGGAAAATTGGGAGGTTAAGGAGAGGAAAGATGCCAAAGATCAACCTGACACATTTAAACAATTTGCCTTCGGCTAGCCTCCTGGCATTGAGATCTTTCCAGGAAGAAGTTCCTCCTCCCTCCCTGGGAGGCTTGCCCAAGATTCAAAGTTTAAGCTCCTACCCTATATTATGTGAGTCATATAAAGAGACCAAATGTTGTATGTAAGTTAGTTTGGATCCTAATCATCATTCACCACACATTTCTATGAAACCACAATGATGAATCCCAGACAACCATCTTATGAATGAACTTTTGAAACTAACTCCTTTGTAAAGGGAGTTAGCTACTACCTGTTCTGAATTTAAACCACACTGAGTACCAAGATGTGATAGATCTCAAATAGGTAAGAAATAAAAAGTAGGTAAACTTACAAGATCACAAAAGAGATACACACTGAAGTTACCACACAGGGTGACATCAGTCTGCACAGTAGGGTGTCTGAGAAACAATCAGATGGCAGTCCATGAAAATATCCTGAGTTAAATAGGAATTTGCAGCTGTAAGGATGAGAATTCTCCACAACACAGATAGTCACCACAAGCCATGAGCCAACATGAAATGTAGAAAAAGGTAAGATAGGGAGTAAGGATGTAGCTTAGCTGGTGGAGTGCCTGCCTAGCATGCACAAGGCCCTGAGTTCAATCTCCAGCACTGCATAAACCAGGTGTGGTGGCACATACCTGTAATCTCATCACTTGGGAGTAGAGGCACAAGGATCAGGAGTTCAGAGCTAGCCTTGGCTACAGAGAAAAAAGTAAGATGGAAACCACTTGCTATTGTTTAGAGAAGGTAGCCAATGAGGACAAGGAATATCAGTTGGACAGTGCTTGCCTAGCATACATGAGACCCTTGCCAGTCCCTGGCACTGCAAAAAAGAAGTTAGCCATAGTACTGGGAAATAGCTCAGTTGGCTTACCCTGCAAGAACCCACATAAAAAGCCAGGTATGGTGGTACATGCTTGTAATCCCAATGTTGATGTAGAGATAGGCTTGCTTAGTGAACTTGGTAGGACCTCAGTCAATCAGACTCTGTTTCAAAAATCAAGGTAGATGGCTCCTGAAAAACAACATCCAAGAATGACCTCTAGCCTACACACAGACACACACACCACCACCACCACCACCACCCCACCCACCCACAGAAAGAGCTCTATGATATAAATATTTTATAATTATCTTTTGATAAAAGACAATAACTCATTAGGTCTTCAGCAGTGTCCTAGTTAGTTTTAACTGTCAACTTGACCCAGCCTAGAGTCATCTGAGAGAAATCATCTAGTTCAGACTGGCCTGTCTGCATGTCTGGAGGGTTTGATTCAGGAGAGCCCAGCTCACTGTGGGTAGCACCATCCCTAGGCAAGATGGTCTTAGGCTGTATAAGGAAGCTAGCTAAGCATAAGCAACCTGGAAAGTAAGCAAGCAAGCAGTGTTCCTCTATGGTTTCTGCTTCAAGCTCTTGTTTGAGTTCCTGCCCTGACTTCCATTATCAATGGACTGTGATTTAGAAATGCAAACCAAATTAACACTTTCCTTTTCTTTTTTTGGATTTTGAGACAGGGTCTTTCTGCAGCCCCAGCTGGCCTGGAACTCACTATGTAGACCAGTCTGGTTTTGAACTCACAGAGATCCACCTGCCTCTGCCTCCCGAGTGTTGGGATTAAAAGCTGACAACCCTTCCCTTTTCTTACTTGCTCTTGCTCAGAGTGTTTTATCACAGCAACAGAAAAGAAACTACGGCAAAATTTCCCATTCCAATTGCTCAGATTCTATATTAATTAAGAAAGTTTTGCTGGGCATGGTGGTGCACGCCTTTAATCCTAGCACTTGGGAGGCAGAGGCAGGCAGATCTCTGTGAGTTCAAGGCCAGCCTGGTCTACATAGTGAGTTCCAGGACAGCTGGGGCTACAGGGAGACCTTGTCTCAAAAAGACCAAAAAAAAAAAAAAAAAAAAAAGAAAGTTTTTATTGATACATTAGGTTTCATAGGGACCTATCAGTTTTGAAAAGAATACCAAGAAGAGTAAAACCTTGTCTGATCTGTTTTGTTTTGTTTTGTTGAGACTGGGTCTCAACCCCAAAACCCCAAAACCACTATGCAGCTGAGGATGGCCTTGAACTGCTAGTCTCCTATCTCCACCTCCTGAGTGCTGGGATTACACATGTGCACTACCATGCCCAACTTTGTCTAATCCAATTGATAGATGGATTAGGCTGTTCAGAACCTGATTAGTATGAACTGACTCTTAAGATCTATGGTTACCCCAACTATGGGTTCTAGAAGTTATAAATAATAACATCAAACTAGTATTTATTATGATATCATATTTGACAAATTGCTTGTTTGCTCAGTTCTCAATTTCTATAGTTTCAAATGGGAAGATTGACTAGATGGTCTAGTTTTTAGATCTGTAAGAGGGTTAGATGTTAAAGTACATGCTAACAGCAATATATAAGGCCTCCCAAATGACCCTTCAACCTGTGTGCATTACAGAATAAGCTCTATTTAAATGTAATGTATTTATCCAGGCATGGATAAATTGCATGCCTGCAATTTTAGCACTTGGGAGGCAGAGGCAGGGGAATAGGAAATTTGAGGCCAGCTTGGGCCACAAACTGAAACACTGTCTCAAAAATGCAAGGATACATAGTAAGTTTAAGACCATCTTAGGCTATATAGCCAAATCTTATCTCAAAAACCAACCAAACAAGCTGAGCCTGCCTTGCCTAAAGGTGGTACATGCCTTTAATCCCAGTTCCAGGAAAGCAGAGGCAGGTGGATCTCTATGAGATTGAGGCCAGCTTGGTCTATAGCAAGTTCCAAGCTGGCTGTGGCTATAGGGAGACCTTGCCTCAAAATCAAACAAACAAACCAAACAAAAAGTAATATTAAATAAATTTGTATGAAAAAGGATAAATATAATGTATTTAGTGTTCCCTATTAAAAGAAAGTATTTTGCAAAATAAAGCATGTTTTGGGACTATGAATTATTATTTAAGTTATCCATTTCATAAATTTGGGTGTTTTTTTTCCTATCTCCTTAAATTTTTTGTTTTTTGTTTTTGTTTTATGTTGCTGCTGCTGTTATTGTTTGATGGGGTCTCACTATGCAGCCCTGGCTGACCTGCCCTCAAACTTACTACGGTAGAGCACACTGGCCTCGTACTCACAGTTTCTCTTCCTGTATCTACTTCCCCAGTGCTGGGATTAAAAATGTGAGGCAGGGGCTGGAGAGATGGCTCAGCAGTTAAGAACGCTGGTTGTTCTTGCAGAAGACCTGGGTTCAGATCCCAGCACCCACATGGCAGCTAACAACTATCTGTAACTCCAGTCCCAGGGGTCAGTCTCTTGTGACCTCCGTGGGCATTGCACAACACGGGTGCACTCACCTACATGTAGGCATAATACTTATACACATAAAACAAAAATAATAAATTTTTTAAAAAACATGAGCCAGTAAGCCTAGCAAATTGGGGTATTCTTGGTGGCTTTTTTGTTTTTTTTGTTTTGTTTTAAATATTTATTATTTTTATTTTATGTGTATGAGTGTATTGCCTGCATGTATGTAAGTGCACCTGTCTCGTGCAGTGCCCAAGGAGGCCAGAAGAAGAAGGCGTCAGATCTGCTGGAACTGGAGTTACAGACAGTTGTTAGCTGCCATGTGGGTCCTTTTCAAGAGCAGTCAGTGCTCTTAACCACTGAGCCATCTCTCCAGCCTCTATTTGTTGTTGTTTAAATATATTTTATTTAGCCGGGTGTGGTAGTGCACGCCTTTAATCCCAGCACTTGGGAGGCAGAGGCAGCCGGATCTTTGTGAGTTCGACGCCAGCCTGGTCTACATAATGAGCTCCAGGACAGCTGGGGCTACAAGGAGACCCTGTCTCAAAAAAAGACAAAATATATATATTAATAATAATAATATTTATGTGTTGGAGTGTTTTGCCTGCATGTATGTGAGTGCACATGTGTTGTGCAATGCTGAGGAGATCATCAGAAGAGGGCATTGAATTCCCCTGGAACGGGAATTAAGGATGGTTCGTAGCTGCCATATGGGTGCTGGTAGTCCTCTGCAAGAGCAGCCAGTGCTCTTAACCACTGAGCCATCTCTCCAGCCCCCTATTTTTTTGTTTTTTGAGACAGGGTCTCATAGGTATCCCTGGCTGGCCTGAAAGTTGCCCATAGACCAAGCTGGCCTCAACTTGTACAGTTCCTCCTGCCTCTCTGAGTGCTGGGATTACAGGCATGTACCATCATGCATGATTTAAATTGGGACATTCTTGTCCAAATACCTTTAACCAAGAAAAGCTAATGTTGCGATTCCATCACTGGAAATAAAGTGTATTTTCAAACCTGCCCCACTTTGATGCTGAGTTACCTCATAGATAAGACCTGAAAAAGATGAACTGCCAACATAGATGGACATTAATTTAGAAGCTTGGCAGAACTGAAAACACACTGACAGATTAAAGCCTATTTAGTAGACTTTGAAGTCACATGTGTCAGAAGGTGGGAAAACATGCCGTATCTCTATATACCATTATCCCCATGGCTTGAGGACAGAGTTCTTCTACTTACAATCTCTGTGTTTTCCCTTATCTTTCAATCCTAGTGTCACTCAGCTTGCAAAGTGTTTTCACATTTGCTTTCTCATTTTTATTTGTTTCTGATCTTCACAACATCCCTGAGAAGTAGATATATCAAGCATTTTTTTTGTTACATTACAAATAGGGAAATCAAAACTCAGAAAACCCATATAGTTTATCCAAAATGAAATTTGTTTCTCTTCAAACATGTATATTAGTTACCACTTAAGAGAACTAAATGGGGCTGGAGAGATGGCTCAGCAGTTAAGAGCACTGACTGCTCTTGCAGAGGACCTGGGTTCGATTCCCAGCATCCACACGGCGGCTGCGAACTGTCCTTAACTCCAGTTCCAGGGGAATCTGAAGCTTTCTTCTGACCTCCACAGCACTGCATGACACATGTGCATGCACATGCAGGCAATACACTCATACACATAAAATAAAAATAATAAAATATTTAAAAAAAGAGAACTAAATGAAGTTGGGTATGGTGACAAATGTCTGTAATCCCATTACTCAGAAGGCAGAGGCAGGAGGATTGCTACAAATTCGAGGCCAATTTGGTCTACATAATGAGTTCTAGGCCAGCCAAGGTGACACAATAAGATACTATGTCAAAAACATAAACAAACAAAAAACCTCAAAGAGAACTGATTTATAAATGCTGTAAGTTTCCATGTTTTTCCTTTTGAATCTATTGACTTTGTGTCTCTACCTAGCTCTGCCAACACTGTCTCCTGGCTAAACTGAAATCAGGGACCACTGTTTTTCTGTTGTTTCACGTATGTTGACTGGTAGCCACCCTCCTCTGAAGTAAAGAACTATATAGGCACTGCAGCAATCAACCATGTAGACAAATGAGAAAATAACTTAAAAATATTTATTATTATTTTTATTTTATGTGTATGAATGTATTGCCTGTGTGTATGTGAGTGCACCTGTGTCATGCAATGCCATGGAGCTTAGAAGAGGGCTTCAGATTCCCCTGGAACTGGAGTTAAGGACAGTTCGTAGCCGCCATGTGGGTGCTAGGAATCGAACCAGGTCCTCTACAACAACAGTCAGTGCTCTTAACTGCTGAGCAATCTCTCCAGCCCCCAAAATAATTTTTGTCCACAAAAGGTAGCAATCCTGTATGAACACAGAAGTCTCTGTCTGACTTAAGCTAGCTGGCTAAATCTAATTGTTTCCTTCTATACAACTGTTAAAAACTGTCATCCTAAATACTGTTTTCCTTGTCATTTTGTTCAGTATCTCTGCTGATTAAGTGTACTAGATTAACAACAAAGGACAACTTTATTTTTTAAAAAAAACTATCATTTAGCTGGGCATGGTGGCACATGCCTTTAATCCCAGCACTCGGGAGGCAGAGGCAGGTGGATCTCTGTGAGTTCAAGGCTAGCCTGGTCCACATAGTGAGTTCCAGGACAGCTGGGGCTACAGGGAGACCCTGTCTCAAAAAGACAAAAAAGAAAAAAGAAAAAGAAAAAGAAAAAAAAGAAAAGAAATGTAGTATCAGGTGGGTAGAGCTAGGTTTTAGAGCTCGGGTAAAACAAAAGCAGAATAATGTCCTGGAGTTGTCCATCTGTTGTTTCTTTTCTTCTTTTCTGTAGCTTTTTTACCAGGGATCTCCCAGTGCAAAGTATACTCAGTGAAGGACAGATCTGCTTCATCAGAGACTTTTCCCATTCCTGTGACCGCCACAACTGAAGACAAAGGAGAGAAAACTACAAGTTCTAGTGGTTCTTTCAGCCCTTTGTCACAAGGTACAGACTAAGGAGGTGCAAAACAAGAACAGAAAAAAAGTAATACTTTTAGCTCCAGTTATGAGAGTGCATCTCCTAAGATTTTCCAGATTGCAAAGTTTATATTATAATATTCCTTTTTTTTTAATGAAAAAAAAGGCTTTTACATAAAGAAGGCCCTAGAAATGTCTGAGATTTGGCACAGTCAATAATGTCTTACCTCAGAGCTGGAGAGATGGCTCAGTGATTAAGAGGGCTCACTGCTCTTGCAGAAGACCTGGGTTTAGTTTCCAGCACCCACGTCAGATAGCTCACAACCACCTGTAACTCAAGTGCCAGGGGATCCAATGCCCTTGGGCCTTCATGGGCACCTGCACACATGTGGTATACATAACTCACACAGGCATACACATATATACATAAATAAAAATAATACATAAATCTTTAAATAATAATAATAATGATCCCTTACCTCCATGAAAGTGAATTCACCCTAAAGCCAGATTTGGGGACAGAATAAGTTCAGTTGGTATGTAAATACTAAGCAATGATTACAGTGTTGACAACAACCAATGGCATATTTTTACCTTCACTATTTTTAATAATACCCATCCTTAAATGGGCTAGTATTCAAATTCTGTAAAATTCAAGTTTGGGGTTCATCCCAGGTTCCTGCCCAGGGAAAAATAAATATGAGATTAGAAATAATGTAATGGATATGAGCCACTTGCCCTAGGTTTGACTTATGACCCAGAAGCAATGCCAATTCACCTTTGTTCCTCTTAGGCCAAGCTAAAACCACGAGATGCATGAGAAAGGTGATTTTTTTTTTTTTTGGTGTTTTTGTTTATTTCTTGTTTTTGATACAGGGTCTCACTATGTAGCCCTGGCTGACCTGAAACTCACTATGTAGACCAGGCTGACCTCAAACCCACAAAGATCTGCTTGCACCTGCCTCTGAGTGCTAAGATTAAAGGTGTGTGCCACCATGCCTGGCAGAAAATTGATTTGTGTGTCTGTATTTATCTTTCTTTTATCAGTGTTAGATATGGAAAGAAATGTGATTTTTTGAGGATAGGAACTTAAATAAGACTGATAAAGGAAGGTAAGAACTTCTTGTGCACTCAGGTCCTTTCTTCCCAAGAACAGTGCAGCGGGGCTGGAGAGATGGCTCAGCTGTTAAGAGCACTAACTGCTCTTGCAGAGGACTCAGGTTCAATTCCTAGCACCCACATGGTGGCTACAAACCATCCTTAACTCCAGTTCCAGAGGAATCCAAAGCCCTCTTCTGACCTCCAAGGCATTGCACAACATGGGTGCACTCACATATATGCAGGCAATACACTCATAC